TATGAAAATTAAATATCTAGAATATACAAATAACTAATTACTCAATTACTTTCTACTTATAATTTTACTGGCCAATTAAGGTACGTGTATAGACGTGCATCAATCAATCAGCACACGACGCAGCCCAAATATTCGAATATAAATATAAGTCATTGTTAAACTTCAAACCGATTATTTCAAGTATTTTTTTTTTTTATTTGTATATTTATTTTATTATTAATTTGCAAACTTTATTATAGATATAGATCTAACTATTTTTTTTATATAAAAACTTTTCAGCACTCACATATTCTTAAAATAACCTGTACATAGCCATCGATCGTTTTCTTAAATAACCAGAAAAACGCATATTCAACGCATATTAAACGCTAAACTTAAAACGCACATCAAACGGTCAACGGAAACGCAACGGAAACGCAACGGAAACTCAACGCTAACGCAACGCAAACGCAACGGAAACGCAACGCACTTTTGGTAAAGAAAAATGTGCTAGGTGCATTTTGGGGGAAATGTGCTAGGTGGAATTTAAGAGAAATGAGCTAGGTGCAATTTAGGAGAAATTTGCTAAGTGTAACTTAGGAGAAATGTGCTAGGTGCAATTTAGAAGAAATATGCTAGGTGAAATTTAGGAGAAATGTGCTAGGTGCAACTTAGGAGAAATGTGCTAGGTGCAATTTAGGAGAAATGTGCTAAGTGTAACATAGGAGAAATGTGCTAGGTGAAATTAAGGAGAAATGTACTAGGTGCAATTTAGGAGAAATGTACTAGGTGCAACTTAGGAGAAATGTACTATGTGTAATTTAGGAGAAATGTACTAGATGCAATTTTAGAGAAATGTTCTAGATGCAATTTAGGAGAAGTGAACTACATGTAGGTGCAAATTTTTTTTAAACGTGTGGTCACCCCTGTTACCTGCGGCTATTGTTATTTCGAAGGTATAATCACCTGGTACAAAGCCATACTGGTGCTTAGTTAAGATAGAATTTGCAATTAGATAGTTGTAAAGATATTTGAATACAATTGATTCCCTTATTTTACTGAAACATGAGGTTATTGAGATTGGTCTATAATTTAAAACCATCATTTGATTAACCATTCCCTTTATATATAGCATTTATGTTTGATTGTTTCCAGCTATTCGGTAATATTCCTGATTCAAGTGTTTTATTAGATAAAACTGGTGGGTAATGTAAGAGAGTTACTTTTTTTTACAACTTTAGGGATTACACCATCAGGGCCAGGGGGTTTATTTACATTAAGAATATTATTTGATCAGATACATCTTGTTCAGTGATATGAATGTTAGTTAGTGGGTATGGAGTACAGGCCTGTGCTGTCTGAGGTAATTCTAGGTCGGGTAATGATGTAGAGATATTAGTAAAGAGGTAGAGATAAAGTGATTGTTAAGGATTTCTGCTTTGTCAAGAGGATGGTGAAAGAGTTGGTCATTGTGTTCAAGAGGAGGAATAGAAAAGGATTTGTTGGAGTAATTATTAATATATTTTGCTATCTTCCACCATTTGTCTCGGGGGACCATGTTTTCATTTAGACAATTTTCAAGTTTTTGAATATAATTCACTTTTGCCTCAGAAATCAAGTCAATAGTTTCATTCCTGAGTAAACGAAATATTTTCGAGTCGTGCGGATTATTTGGTACTTTGGTTTTTCTATGAATTCTATTACGTTGTCTCATTTTCAGTCTTAAATTGTTTTTCATCCATGGCTTATCGGTTGGGCGTATAGTAATAACTTTGGTGGGAAAGAAACTATTGACTTGTTCTCTGATTGAATTAGTTATACATTTGAGTTAAATGCATCAGAGTCCAGATTTAATGACAAATTCAACCAATCAATATTAAGAAGTGCATTATCTATACTTTCTAAATCAGCTGCATCACATTTCAAAATAGTTTTCTTATGATTCACTTGTTTGAATACAGTAAAAAAAATGGGCACTGAATGGTCACTTCAAAATGTTGGTGATACATAAGTATTTTAATTAAGTTTAGGTTGTTAGTAAAGATGACATCAATAGAAGTGGCACTATCAGGTTTTATTCTTGTATGTTCATTAATAAGACTAGTTAATTTGTGTTTTATAAGGAGTCTTGATAAATGATCATTTAGTAGTCTATTTAACATATTAATATTAATATCACCTGTAAGTATAACATTCAATGAAGTATCAGAAGCTCTAGTTAATATATCATCAAGCTTATTCCAGTATTCAATATTACTATCTTGTCTATACATACATCCGAGAAAACATTTATGATTATTTAATAAACTATAACCCCACCCAGACTATACACACACTTTCATTATTTCCAAACTCGGCTTCAATAAGTGGGGTTGTATTTCTGAGAGATCTTATATTGAGATGAGCTAGCTTTAAATTTTGTATTGATAAAATAGGTAATTACATAGATTAATTAAAAATACGAGTAATGAAAACAAAGACATAGCTCCTTAAAAAATGGGTTTTTTTTGCGTTTAGAAAACTGCCAGTGATCAACCGTTACCATAGTTCAGCAAACCTGGACATCTATCATATTACCCATTGTCGGTGTGGATAGAGCGGGGAGGTGGGCTAGGTCGATCCTCCAGCTGTTAGAAATTTCTTCAGGCAGGACATATGAACAGCAGTTTAGCAAGAGAGTGAGATAACAATAAAACAGACAGTACAATACAACTTCCATACACACACTCACAGCAATAACACACAAACACATGTTATTAAACGACTCATAAATGTGCTTGAGATGCTTAAAAACATAGGTCTCCGAGATATACATAGATAATACATTCAGTATTTTATAATACACTTGCAATGGTTAATAATATCAATCCAAAACATAAATATGCAGAATAGAAAAAACACTAAAAATTAGAATATTTTGATTTGAATAAATAGACATATCTATGGTAAAAGTATAAGAGAAAACATGTGAAACATATATGTTTAACTCTACAAGCCCCATGTGATCAACATATCGCCCGCATTTTGCTATACTAAACGGAAGTACAACTATTATATCAGTTCACAATTCAACAATTCACACTTACGAAGTCGTCTTTTTATTGCGAGTGTATAGAAAGAACGTGCTTTTTATCAATTAAATCAAGCCGAACAACAATAGGATGAGGCACGTGGAAATTATCGGGATGTTTGTGCACGTGCACGCAGAAAGCGATCGTGTTGATAGCACATGTATTCCATACGTGTAGCTCGAAAATAGAGTATATGAGAAAGAGAATGTGTACTTGCTATGGTCACGTGTATATTGGTCTTTATATTCCTATTATATTGACATTAATTATGTTTGGGTTTGTTGGGATGAGTACGTTGAACGTGTTGAGAGGCTAGAGTTCTGAGGCGGAAGTTCGTGTCGGTGTTCTTTTTAAGAGGGGTCGGGTTAGGAATCTAACTCACTGAGGTGTGTGACTTGGGCCTTGGCCCCACTAGCATGCCTGATGACGATTCTCCCGTCGTTAGTCCATGTTTCAGATATGTTGATTTAAGATGACGGGCCTTGGAAGATATCATCGCTCTCTGCTTCGTTAGCACCTCGTTTACAAACAACTCGGAACTTAAGACAGTTTATCCGAGAATATTATTCTAGATCGTCCTGTCACTCATGGATATCAGTTAGTTATTTCTGTATGTCCGGGATCCCATATTTATAAATCATTGTGTCCTTGAGTCATTACTCAAAAGTCAATAACATCAGGGTCGGTGATTGCATTAATAGTGCTGATACTCTTCTTAATGCTGCATTCATGATGAATATAGTACAGTATACGAAGAATAATATGGGAAGACTAGGATATACACCGTTTATTTTAGCGAAACATGGCGGCTCAAACAGTGACCACTAGTCGTGTAAAAGGTCCATATAAATACATTCTCTTCGGCCACCGGAATCATAGGTTTATTAGGTCGATACGAATTAATGACATTTTTGAAACCTAACGGATAAAGATTAATGATTATCTCATAGAGTAAAGTATTTTCCTTATTATTGTTTGTTGAAATGACTTTTGACTTATTATTATCAAGCCCAACAAAAAGTATATCAATGTATATGATTTTGCCGCAAACACTGTTGATTGACGTTTAACAAATGTTTTCCCAGCACCTCATCCTTAATATTCAAGGTTAAATGTCACGTGTTATGTAATTAGACTGTTCTGGAAAGACAAGTAAAAGATATATTGGATCGTTTCCTGGGTAGTGAAGGTATCAGAAAAAATTCCATCAAGTAAGAATTATGAAATTACACCATATACTATTTTAAAGCAATTGACATCATTCGTGATTGTATTTGTGAAGATTGATTTTCTGTTCATGGCAGATTAATACATTTTGTTTAAATGTAACACGGGACTGCGATCAAAGCGTGGACTTTCCGTTTGGTTACATTGATGTTTGCAAAAGAAAATTATGTATAATTGTAGCAAATAAAAAACACTGTTAATTTAATTTTGGTGTTGTTTTCAACTCAACGTTTTAATTTTAATTCCCTGTTTACGTTTTCGCTTTTATCTACTGAAATAAATATATTGGAACAACAATAGTTGACGTCATTTGAATCTTTAGCAAACCTCAATATATAACTTTAAAATACACCATACCAATGTCAAACTGTTCAATTTGATCAAGTATATATATATATGTATATATTTGAAGTTATATAATTCACGGGATTTCAAAGAAAGCGTGGCATTAACGACGATATCAGTTAATGTCTGAAGAAGATTACAAACGAATAATTGTAGTATAAGCATGTTTGGAAAAAATTGACCGGTGTTTAATTTTGTTATCGTTGTATGGTTTCCTACTGAAAATCACCAAAATCGTTTGTGTCATGACCACACATTTCTTTTCTTTTAACTTGTCATGTATTCATATCCAGATACCACATTTTGACAACATGATATAATTTTACGTGCTTAAGAACCAATATTGTAACGCATTTATCAATATGATGTAAAACAAACCTCTTTCGGATCTGCTCCTTTGTCCAACAACATCTTAACGATGTCGGTATGGCCATTACGAGCTGCGTACTTCAATGCATCAGGCTGGATAAACAAACACAAAATTTCAGTAAAAAAATGTGATTGAACAAGGAAAATGTTATAATTACAGGTCTGCAGCATCGCTTTGAAAAATACATTATTTGTGGCATCATTATTTTTTATTGATATGTATGTGCTTATTTAAATCTAAAAAGAATCATAGGTTTATTAGTTTTATACGAGTTAATGAAATTTTGAAACCTAACGGATATAGATTAATGATTATCTCTTGGAGCAAATATCGTGTCACCAACATCACTTTGTCTTTTCCTTATTAATATTTATTAAAGTGAATTGTGACTTATTATTACCAAATCAAACAAAAGTATATAACTGTATATGATTTTGCGCAAACACTGTTGATGACTAAGTAATAATTCTTGATTGACGTTTTACAATTGGTTTCCCAGCATTTCATCCTTAATACTCAAATGTAAATGTCACCTGTTATGTAACAATACTGATCTGGTAAGACAATACAAGCTATTTTGGATCGTTTCCAATGTAATGAAGCTATCAGAATAAATGTTATCAAGTAAGATTTATGAAATTACACCATATAATATCTTAAAGCTTTTGACACCATTCGTGATTGTATTTGTGAAGATTGATTTTCTGTTCATGTTAGAATGATACATTATGTTTAAATGTTACAAGGGATTGCGATCAAAGCGTCGACTTTCCGTTGGGTTACATTGATGTTTGCAAAAGAAAATTATGTATGACTGTAGCGAATGAAAAACGATGTTAATTTAGTTTTGGTGTTCTTTTCAACTCATCGGTTCAATTTAAATTCCCTGTTTACGTTTTCGCTTTTATCTACTGAAATAAAAATATTGGAACAACAACATTTCTCCTCCTCTGAACTCATGCATCGCTATATATTTTACAATAGTTGACATCATTTGAATCTTTAGCAAACCTAAAAATATAACATTAAAACACACCATACCAGTGTCAATCTGTTCAATTTGATCAAATTTGATATATATATATATATATTTGCAGTTATAGAATTCACGGGATTTCAAAGAAAGCGTGGCATTAACGACGATATCAGTTAATGTCTGCAGAAGATTACAAACGAATAATTGTAGTAATAGCTTTTTTGGAAAACGACCGGTGTTTTATTTTGTTATCGTTGAATGGTTTCCTACTGAAAATTACCAAAATTATTTGTGTCATGACCACACATTTATTTTCTTTTAATTTGTCATGTATCCATATCCAGACACCAAATTTTGACAACATGATATAATTTTACGTACTTAAGAACCAATATTGTAACGCATTTATCAATATGATGTAAAACAAACCTCTTTCGGATCTGCTCCTTTGTCCAACAACATCTTAACGATGTTGGTATGGCCATTACGAGCTGCGTACTTCAATGCATCCGACTGATTAAACAAACACATAATATCAGTAAACAAAATGAGATTTAACAAGGAAAATGTCATTATTATAGGTCTGCAGCATCGTTTTGTAAAAAACATTCTTTGTAGCATCATTATTTTTTTATTAATTTGTATGTGCTTATCTAAAAAGAATCATTGGTTTATTAGTTTGATACCAGTTAATGAAATCTTTGAAACCTAACGGATATAGATCAATGATTATCTCATAGAGTAAATATCGTGTCAACAACATCACTTTGTCTTTTCCTTATTAATGTTTGTTAAAGTGATTTGTGACGTTTTATTACCAAATCAAAGTAATAAGTCTAGATTGACGTTTTACAAATGGTTTCCCACACCACATCACTAATATTCGAGGTTGAATGTCACGTGTTATGTTATTAGACTGTTCTGGTAAGACAAGTACAATTTATATTGGATGGTTTCCTGTGTAGTGAACGTATCAGAGGAAAATCAAGTAAGAATTTAGAAAATATACCATATATTATTTTAACGCTATTGACATCATTCGTGATTGTACTTGTGGAAATTGATTTTCTGTTCATACCAGAATAACATATTTTGTTTATATGTTACACGAGATTGCGATCAAAGCGTTGTGCACTTCCCGTTGGGTTACATTGATGTTTGCATTAATAAGTGATGTATGCTTGTAGATAATAAAGAATTAAATTTCATTTAGTTGTGGCGTTGTTTTTCACTTATCTTTTCAATTATAGTTCCTTGTTTACGTTTCCGCTTTGATCTACTAAAACAGATATTGTTATTGTCCTGGTACCACAACCTTCCTCCTCCTCTGAACTCATGCATCGCTTTATATTTAACAATAATTGACATCATTGAAACTATTAAAAACCTAAATATATGACTTTAAAACACACATTTGCCAATGCCAATCTGATCATTAGATACTGCCTCTGTTACGGGATTAAACTGGACTAAAGAAATATCAACTCTTTTACAAATACAACAGGATATCAGAGTACGTATGGTAAGACTAATACACAAGGAGGCGAGTCGTTTCAGGTATAATGAGGGATAAAAGATGACGGTAAGGGACTTGATCAAACACTGCTTATGTTCAATTGTATCAAGTTAATAATATGTATTTATTGATAAGCAGGTATAAATTACACGGGATTTCAAAGACAGCGTGGCAATAACGACCATAACAGCCAATGTCTGCATATGATTACACACGATTCATTGTAGTATAAGCATGTTTGGGAAAACCACCGGTGTTTCATTTTGTTATCGTTGTGTTGTTTCCTACTAAAAATGACCAAAATCGTTTTTGTCATGACCTCACATTTCTCTTCTTTTAACTTGTTATATGTTCAGATACCAAATATTGACTACATGGCATAAACTTTTAGATCACCTGTTTCTTTAGCACAGTTCAATGATAAATTGATGCAGATCAATTTTATAGTTAGCTGGAAAGTTTATTTGGGTGATTCTTTGTTCCCACTGGTCACTCCAAATTATCTTATATATTTATATACCAAGACAATAACTTACAAAGATATTAGTATTAAAGATAAAATTAATTGAAATTGTTGTGTTGTGGTTAATTTGTGACTATTTGATAAATGATTTTGCCTCAAATACTGTTCTTGTTCTGGTAAGACAAGTACAATTTATATTGGATGGTTTCCTGTGTAGTGAACGTATCAGAGGAAAATCAAGTAAGAATTTAGAAAATATACCATATATTATTTTAACGCTATTGACATCATTCGTGATTGTACTTGTTAAAGAGTGGCATTAACGACCATATCAGTTAATGTCTGCATAAGATTACAAACGAATAATTGTAGCATTAGCATGTTTGGACAAACGACCGGTGTTTAATTTTGTTATCGTTGTATGGTTTCCTATTAAAAAGGACCGAAATCGTTTTTGTCATGATCTAGAATTTCGCTTCCTTTAACTTGTTGTGTGTTCATATCCAGTTACCAAATGTTGACAACATGGCATCATTTTACGTACTTAAGAACCAATATTGTAACGCATATATCAATATGATGTAACACAAATCTCTGAAAATCTTAAACCCCTTACCCCACATGAAAATACTTTTCCCTTCCTTCTAGACAATATCATTATATCTGAAGAGGACATTAAAGATCAATTGTGCTTACTTAATGATGAAAATAACTCCTGGCCCAGATGGCATGATACCCAAGATAATAAAGAAATTAGCACCTTCTCTAATATGTCCTCTAACTTTACTTTGTAATAAGACTATTGAATCTGGTATTATACCTCTTTCTTGGAAAAAAGCTAATACTAATGCAATATACAAAGGTAAGGGTGCTCAAACTGATGTCTCTAACTATAGGCCAATTTCAATTACATCATGTTTTAGCAAAATTGTTGAAAAAGTTATTTTTAAATGTATGTTTGATTATATAAAAGAATGTGATATCATAACGAAACACCAATCAGGCTTCTCACCAAGAGACTCGACTGTAAACCAGTTATTATCTATATATGACACTATTGTAAATAACTTAGATCAAAATAATGAAATCAGATTTGTATTTTGTGATGTAAGTAAGGCGTTTGATAGAGTTTGGCATGAGGGTTTACTTTTTAAATTGGAATCGTATGGCATAAAAGGGAAAATATTACAATGGTTTAGTAATTATCTATCTGATAGAAAGCAGAGAGTATCAACAGAGGGTTTGTATTCAATTTTGAAGCATGTCAAGCCGGAATACCCCAAGGCTCGGTCCTTAATCCATTCCTTTTCCTAATCTATATTAATGATACAACAGAATGTGTAACAAGTAAAATAAAACTTTTTGCAGATGATACTTCTCTCTATGAAGGAAGTAATAGACAACAATCAAAATGAAATTGCAGTGAAATTAAATAATGATCTAGGTTATATTAACGCATGGGCAAAAAAATGGGATATCAAATTTAATTCACTTAGAACTGAATCTGTAATCTTCTCAAGGAAAAGGGAACAAAACCATCCAGATATCTTATTTGGTAATGAAACTGTAACTAATAAACAAACTCATAAGCATCTTGGTTTAACTTTTAGTAGTGATGGAAATGGACATATTATATTGACAATATTTATGAGCTAGCTTATAAAAGAATGAATATATTGAGAACGTTAAAACACAAATTGGATAGAAGAAGTCTTATAACAATATATACCTCTTTTATTAGACCAATACCTGAATATGGGGATGTAATATGGGATAACTGTAGTAACCAAAATCAAAATATTCTTGCGTCATTACAGGGTTGCGAAGAGGGACCTGTCGTTGTAAGATTTATGCAGAAACTGGACTTGAATCACTTTATTGTAGGCGAAAAAAATCATAAATTAGCACTTATGTTAAAAAATTTAAATAATGACACGCCTAAGTACTTAGAGGACATCATTGAACCATGCCTACACAATAATATAAATGTAAGATACCCACTAAGAAATAGCCATATTTTCAATCCCCCTTTCTGTAGAACTGAGAATTATTTCAATAGTTTTTTTCCCTCAATGTGTAGAGAATTGAACCTTCTATCTGCAAAAACTTTAAATGCTACTTCCCTTCAACAATTTAAAAAATTCATCAAGTCTAATAATATGAACAACACTGAAGAAATTTCTAGCACATTTAAATACTATGGGCCAAGAAAATTCAATATCATAATTTGTCAGCTGAGAAATCTTGCTAGCAACCTAAATAGTGACTTTTATATGTATCATCTGAATGACACACCAGCATGTAGATGAGGACATAAAAATGAAAATGCATTTCATTTTATACCCGAATGCCCAATGTATAACAACTTTAGAATGCAATTAGTAATGAAAATTTCTCAATTTTGTATAACTGATAATCATGATCATTTTAATCTAAAAACTCTATTAAATGGATGCTTAATATGCAGCGCTGATATTAACATATCCATTTTACAAAATATATCTACTACATTTGTCAAACTAATAGGTTTTATATGTAATCTCACTCACAGCAAAACTTTACATTGAAAGTGATGCTACTATTTAAAGTGTCATGATCACTCTGCTATTAAATATTGATACTGGTGTATATCTATCTTCACAACATCTCTGGTATTCGGCTGGACTGGATGGAATTGATGAGTGTACTATTATATAACCTGTTCTAACTATTTTATAGTTACATGAATATTCTATAGTGCTTTGTTAAATAAATTTTAAGAGAATCAACTCCAATAATATATAATAACTACATATGAATTCATATCATATTCTGAAATTTTACAAATTGTTTATTTCTTGGTAACTTATCCTATATATCCAGTGGGTGGATGGCGAATGTGTTTATAAACAGGGACTTTTGGGCCTGTATCCCTTGGATTTTATGTAGCATGGGTTGTCAATAAATATACATGATTTATTTAATTATTAATATCTAAAACATAAACAGAAAATGATTGAGCAAAAGTTGTTAAATGTTCATTTCACAAGCTAAATTGGAGTTATCTCCCCTGCACTGTTTAATTGGATTGTTATGACAGAATAAATGTTATGTTTGTAAATAAGTTTGGAAAGAACTAACATAGGCCTAGCCTGACGTCCAATCCAATTTACATATATAAAGTCAATAAAATCTGATGAAATGAAATGAATACAAACCTCTTTCGGATCTGCTCCTTTATCCAACAACATCTTAACGATGTCGGTATGGCCTTCACATGCTGCTTCATACAATACAAGAGACTGTATAAAGAAAACCATTATATTAACAACAAAAATGAGATTTAACAAGGATAATGTTTTAATTACAGGTATCCAGCATCTCTTTTTAAAAAACATTATTTGAGACATCATTATTTTTTCTTAATTTACATGAGATTTGTTTATAAACCGTCATAGGTTTATTAGTTTAATACCCGTTACTAACATTTTTGAAACCGCATAGACATAGATTAATGATTATCGCATAGAGTAAATATCGTGTCACCAACATCACTTTGTATTTTCCTAAGTAATGATTGTTTAAATGAATTGTGACTTATTATTAAAAAATCGAACAAAAAGTATATAAATATACTTGATTTTGCCGCAAATACTGTTAATGACTAAGGAATAATTCAAGATTGACGTTTTACAAATGGTTTCCAAGCATCTCATCCTTAATATTCAACGTTAATTGTCACGTGTTATGTAATCAGACTGTGCTGGTAGGTAAAAGATAAATGGGATCGTTACCTGTGTAGTGAAGGTATCAGAAGAAATTCGACCAAGTGAGAATAAAGAAATTACACCATATTTTATTTAAAAGAAATTGACATCATTCGTGATTGTACTTGTAAAGATTGATTTTCTGTTCATGGCAGAATAACACATTTTGTTTATATGTTACACGGGAAGCGATCAATACGTGGACTTCCCGTTGG